AGATTTGAGGATATTTAGAAAGTAAAATTGACAGAACTTAAAATATCTTTAATTGCTTCACCTAGAGAATCGCTGTCCACATTTGACTTGTAGTCTTACACATTTTCCTTTCTTTGTGTGTCTGGCAATTATGTAAAATGGAATAATCATATTTTGGAACTCACATTTTGTATTTATTAGTACAGACTTCTACTTTTGGTATGAATCTTTAGGGCAATTAAGGTATCAAAAGAATGCCTTTAGGAAATATGTAAGTTTTATATGCATGTAACTTAAAGTTAAGAGATGTAACTTACTGTAATCAGGTTTACATTTGAGTAATAAGACAGGAAATTCAAATGACAGTGGCTTAAACAAAATGGAGGTAACGTCCAGGCCTGTGCTATACTTACTATAATTTTATAGAGCAGGAGTTTAAAATACAGAGTTTATCAGATTTAATACAACAAAATGCAGGCCCAGTTCAAACTATGTATGAATAATTATTATCTTCCTAATTAGCAAAAGGTCACATTTTCCCATGTCTTATGTAGGGAATAATTGAATTCACAAGGTTCAGTATTATCTAGACTAATCTCTCAGTTTTAAGTTTAATTTTGAAAAGAAACAGATAGCTTTCAACATGAGAAGTATAGCATAATCAACTTCCCACACAGGAAAGAAAAACAATTTACATTTTACGGTTATGTTTTTACTATCATGTTCATACTCTATTACCAACTGTGTTACCATTGGATTTTTAAAAATTGAGGTAAAATGTTACTTGTTTTTAAAACAAACTTCTTTCATTTAAAAATCATTTGTAGCTGATAGGAAATAATATGTATTTTTTGAAACAATATTTTCAATGGGAATAATGTTTCAATTTCAATACCTTTCTAAAGCCAAAGCTAAAACAAGGTTGAGTATATATTTTCATATCCTGACTTTATAATCACTATATAGTGTTTGCTTTATCTTCCCTCTATTCCCATAACATATTATTTATATACCTTTTAAGCCAGGTGACATAATCTGACTCCAAATGTGGTTATTTGGTGTTTGTCTTATTACCTCCTACTATATTTTAAACGTTTGGAGGGTGGAAACTCAAGTTTGTTCTCACAACTCCTGAAGCTTTGTTGAAGTTGGAACCATTTGCAGTAACTCCTTAGTCCTCTTCTCTGAGAAAGGAATCCCAATTCCTGTCCTTCAGCACAAAGGTGAGCTAATACGGTCATGTTTATACAGTGGGATGCCCCATCTCCTAACCACAGCTGATTTGATTAAGCAGTCTCGCTTGATTCAAATTAGACCAATCAGGTGCACTCTCCCAGAAAGAAATTTGGATACAGAAAAGTTAGTCTTCCGGGCCTCTTGAATGGAAGCTTTGTAAACTAGGAAGTTAAGGGTGGCCATGTTCTACCACAGGTGCGGAGAAAAGCACAAAAGACCCATCTGCCTTCATTCTTTGATTCAATAAACATTTATGGATTGCCTCTAAGTGGCAGGTACTCTGCAAGATGCTGGGTCTACAATGGTAAACACAGCATATATGGTTCCTGTGCTTATGGGGCCTACAAATATTTGAAAAAGATTGTTAATATCCATTAGTAATTGATTACAAATTTTGATAAATGCAATGGAGAAAAGGAACAAGGGGTTTTGAAAGAGAATAAGGGGTGGATTAAGAATCAATGAAGGCAGGATGCCTGAGTGGCTCAGTCGGTTAAGCGGCTACCTTTGGCCCGGGTCATGATCCCAGGGTCCTGGGATTGAGTCCCACATTGGGCTCCTTGCTCAGCAGGGAGCCTGCTTCTCCCTCTCTTCCTCTGCTTGTGCTCTCTCTGTCAAATAAATAAAATCTTAAAAAAAAAAAAGAATCAATGAAGGTCTCTATTTTTAAGTGACCTTTAAGCTAAGGTGAAAAGCAAGGTGTTAGAGCATTCCTGGTAGAGGAATTATTTCCTGAAGATATATACTAGATGTTCAATGACACCTAGTAGCATTCAATAAATATATTTTGAGCTAAAAAATTATTATGCTTTATAAGATAACCAGACATAGAAGGCCTATAAATTGGTTGCCATAGGTGTTTGGCCATAAAAGGTTTACGTGAAACTGTATTTTTCAGGCCACATAAGCTTGGGGCTATACTGCAACAATCACAAAAGAGTGTTTATCTGATTTTACTCTTGAGGTCCCTGAATAGACTCTGATTCCAGCCATTTCTTCCCCAATATTAATGAAGGACTCTAGGGTGGGTCTCATGTGTGCTCTGTATGTTACTAAGTTACTATGCGCTGTGCATCATTTATTTCTAAGTGCATGTAGCTGTGAGGATGCTGTTATTCTCACTTCTTGTCTCTGATGCTTGATGAAGGCATCCCTGCTGCTGCTACTCTTTTTTTTTTTTTTAAGATTTTATTTATTTATTTGAGAGAGAGAATGAGAGAGAGCACATGAGAGGGGGGAGGGTCAGAGGGAGAAGCAGACCCCCCGTTGAGCAGGGAGCCTGATGCGGGACTTGATTCTGGGACTCCAGGATCATGACCTGAGCCGAAGGCAGTCACTTAACCAACTGAGCCACCCAGGCGCCCCGTGCTGCTACTCTTTACTGATGCCTGCCCTGAGGTTGCTGGAGCCCACTGCTAGGGGCAATGTTGTCTGTACTGAGTGTGCTACCTTCAGAAATTATGCTCAGAAATGCTGGTTATGGCTTCTGTTCTGTGTTTAAATGGGTATAAAATCCACACACAGGAGTTCTTAACCTAGGCTCTATGGGTGAGCTTCAGGAATTCTGGAAACCCTTTGATTTTTATGCATATTTTTGGGCATGTGGGCATTTGATGGTGGAGGAGTAAGGGAGGAGGGTTATAACTTTTTAAGATTTTCGAAAGACGTTCCTTACCTCTAAAGATTAGGAATTACTCTGTTACAACAAGAGGAGGAGAGCTGGAAGCTATTCCAAGGCCAGCACTGTGCTTTATGGAGAATTGTCTTCTCCTTCAATGTTTGTATCATCACTGAACCAGACCTGCTCATCATCTCTTAGGACGAATTACTTCCTAGGGGTTCCTTGGTTCTCATGTAAGGAGATTCTTTACATTTTCCACCAGACCTCTCAATAAGATGTATAGGCTTGAATCCTAAGGTGAACAAAGCTCAATCTCAAACTGGTATCCCAGCTTCATATTTATAACTTAAATAACACTAAAAACCTCCATGCATATCATAACAATATTTTTGTTTGCATAAATATATGTGTATGTACAGTTGACTTTTGAACAACATGGGGATTAGGGTGGCTGAACTCCTGAACAGTTGAAAATCTATGTATAATTTTTGACTCTCCCAAAACTTAATTACTAAGAGCTACGTGTTGACCAGAAGCCTCACTGATAACATAAACAATCGATTAACACATATTTTGTATGTTACACGTATCATTTACTGTATTCTTACAATAAAGTAAGCTAGAGATAAGAAAATCATAAGGAAGAGAGAAAACATTAACAGGACTATACTACTGTATTTATGGAAAGAAAATTCGTGTATAAGTGGAACCATGCAGTTCCAACCCATGTTGTTCAAGGGTCAATATATTTTTTAAATGAAAAAAGTGACAGTCTTCTAGTTCTTAAAAGTGGAAAGGGAGATTTTCTTATTTTCTTATCTTCTTTCACTTAATTAGGGAAAATACTTAAGAAGTTTACTTTCTTAATTTTTTTAACTATTACTTTTTACTTTCAATCGTATTTTTCCTCTACAATTATTTCCTCTCAGATGAACTTGACTTTTTTTCCCTTGATCCCTTTTTTCATCTTCCATTTTTTTGCTCATTCTCATTTAGACATCAGTTGTCAAAAATTCATTTCATGTTCTCCCTGCAATGTGGTTATATATTTTGAACTTCACTGAGTGGTCAAATTCCTGCAGTTAATTGCTTGCATGGGTTTTGCATCCCTGAATCTCAGTGCAAATGATCTGGATTACTGATCATTCTTTAGCTATAAACATGTTCAAATATGCTTTGGAAAACTAATTTTTAAAAGCATTTCATACCGTTTCCTTCCTTTAGCCTTCATAACTTGTCATGGAAACAATGAAGAACTCTTGGTGCTTAATTCTGGTGGGTTAGTTTGAAAAAGCACCTTGGAGAGAATACGACTTACCCTCTGGAAGCTTGAAAGTAACTAGTTACAAATGAATGAATCTTCTATTTTCTTTATGGAAGACTGAAAAGATGCTTCAAGCTGTGCTTACGTGAGATTTGGCATCACACTGAATGTGTTGCAGAGATTCTGCAGAAGGAATCCTGTTGTGAAATTAGATGAAAAACAGTGGTAAACTGAATTTCATTTAAGTGAGTGTTTTTACAATTTAAATTTTGTTTCTGCCTGGTATTTAAATAAATATACTTCAGAGCTTTTCCAGAAAATGTAATAGAAGACCAAAAAATATCACAACATAGCTGCGCATACGTGGAGACTGCCGTTGAGGTGGTTGAGATTTCCTGGGAGCAGCAAAATCACATTTTCCCACTTGATCTTGCTATTCTACACAGAACTGGTTAACACAAAACCCTTTATTTTATTTCAGCATCTTCAGAATTTGGGGTCCAGTTTCTTTAGACCTCGGATAGTTGTGAATGCAAAAAAAAAAAAAAAAAAAAAAAAAAAAAAAGAAGCTAATGCTCATTTTCCCCGTTTAATCCGACCTCATTCACCTCTGGGTTGTGAGATACCAGGCAGTGACCCAGGATAGCAGTGTGCGGACGGCGGTCGGGTTACCCTGGGAACCTCCGCCTGGGACCCAGCCAGCCTGGAGGCTGCGCTACACCCGGGACCGTCGCCATGGCAACGGCGCGGCGCGCTCACCGCGACCGCGAGGGCGAGAAGACGAGTACGGAAGTCCCGCCTCCGAATTGCCGGGAGCGTCGCCATGACAACGGCGTGGCGCGCAGGCCGCGACCGCAGGGGTGGGAAGGGGGCGGGGAATGAGAGCGCGGAAGTCCCCGCCCCTGGGCTGCTAGGGCGGCGGCGACCTCGGCGGCTCGCAAGGATTTGAAACCGTTTCTCTGTGGCGGCGGCGGCGGCGGCGGCGGCGCGGCCGACCGGAAAGCTTGCATGTAGGGGCGCCAGGTTTTCGATTTCCCGAATTTCCCCACCCGGGTTCTCGAGTGGAATTTTGCGCGGGGTGGCGGCCGCCCCTCCCGTGCGCGCCCGTTCGGGGAGGGGCGTCGCCCCGCAGGCCCCGGGTCCGTTCGCAAGGCCTGTGGGGCGCGCGCCCGGCTGGGGGTTGGGGGTGAGGGGGCGTGAGAGTGAGGGTGGGGGTGGCGGGGGGGGCCTGGGCGCGGACGGCTGCTATTCCACTTGTGGGTGAAATCCAGTCCCGGCGCGGACCGGGAAAGTTCTGGGTAAAGTTTGCTAGATGGATGGAGCTGGTCCACAGGACGCGGTCCCGAGATCCGACCGCAAGGTTGGCCGCTGGGGAGGAGAAATCTGTGTTCTGGACAAGGTAGGGAAGCGGCCGTGGCCTCGCGGGCTCGCAGGCCGCCCGCCCCGCGCCCGCTGGCCGCTCAGACAGGGCAAGTTGCTCCCAGGACAGGATGGGCGACCCCGGAGTTAGGGCAGGACCGGTGCGCTGGCTCCCGTGTGGGCGACAGTCTCGACGCCCGAGCGCTCGGGAAGGCCTGGCCCAGCACCACGGCGTGCGTGCGGGAGCCACCGAGTGTCCCCGCGTTCAGTGTTCAGGAGGACAACACAAGTACAGACGAACAGCTTTTATTCTCATCCTTGTGTGGCTGCTTTATTATTTGTCTTTTGTATTCAAAGATGAGTAAAAATAAGGTAGAAAAGGCGACCGGAATGACAGGAGCCTCTGCATAGTGGTCAGGCTGCAGCCTGGAGCGCACGACGGTGGGCACACAGTGTCCAGGCCCAGCTACCCCTTTCCCTGGGACTGACTCTAGGGCAGTTACCTAACTCCGCTAAGCCTCGACTTCCTCCTCTGGGAAATGGCCGTGAAATAGTGCCTGTCTCCCAGGGTGATGACTGGGAAATGTTTGTAAAGCACACAGCATGCTCCTGGCACCATCAGGGAAGGTCCAGTCAGTGCTCTGGTAACTGTCCAAGCATCACGTGCACCTGTAAAACTTTCTGATTTACCGTGGGACGTATTTTAAATTTTCTGGAATGACTCACCATACGTTTAAAATACGGTTTGAACAAAATTGATTTTTGCAACTTCTAGGAATATGTTTATTGTGTTTGGCAGAGGGCATGATGTATGTGCGGTGGCTTTTCTCCCCAGGTCTTTTAATATTTGTGGCTTGCTTCTGCTTTGCTGACTCGTGTGACAGCTAAGCACCTTGAGTAGGTCTTAGCCCCTTTGATAGGTGTCCACATATAAATAGGTTTAAAAAAAGACAGTGCCAGTGAGTTAAATAGAAGACGTGATCAAATATAGATTATAACTATAAGCAAGAGTTACCCAGTTGAGTTCTTTTTTTTACGTTTGAAGTAGTTTATGTGATTAGTAGGCACATGAGACATAAGATACAGTTTTAAGTAGTGATAAAACTTTTTGATTAGCTGGAACTAAGTAGGTATAGTTTGTTTATAAGATGTAATTTGTGTAACAAGAATTCCTTGAAGGTTTGAAATGGTGACTTAATTTTTTCCTTTTTGCATTCCTTAATTTTGTTGGAGAATAAAGAAGGCATAAGGAGATGCAGATTTTTAGCTTTTACCCACTGTCACATTGACCCTTTGTTGTGTTTTTTAAAAAAGTGTACTCCACTATTGTGTGTCATTATAGCAATTCCAGTTGCCTTTCTACTTTTCAAAATACGTCTTTATTAGTTGGAGATATTGCTGACGTTTATGTAAATGGCCAAGAGGTCAGGTATAATGGATCTGAGAGCTAGGGATTTCAGAATTTTAATCTGAGCTTTGTGCTTAATTTCATGACGTTAAGGGAGTCTTTTCAACTGTTGAGTTTTAGTTTTCCCTAACATTAAACGTTAACATCTGTGTGTGTCAAAGGATTTATTGTGAATTAGTGATTATTAGAAATCTTTTTGTTTTAGCTTTATCTATGGGTCCTCTCAGGTAAATGTTTGAGCACATGGGCCGGATGTACTGTTTAAGACTGGGAGTACTCCTAGGCTAGAGCTGTGCTTACAATTCTGAGTTTGGGAGTTTCCATTTGTCTTTTCATCCATTGAATAGTTGCTTTTTAGCTTTATGGTCTAATATCCTGCAGTGGTATCATAGCCCTCTGTTACCAAGTATGTAACAGGTGTAATTATATAGGAATGCAGTTAGTTATTGTAGGAATGCAAAACAACCAACCAAACACCCCTAAGCCAACTAACCAATCAGAAAATGCATTTAGGGCGCCTGGGTGGCTCAGATGGTTAAACGTCTGCCTTCGGCTCTGGTCATGATCCCAGGGTCCTGGGATCGAGTCCCGCATTGGGCTCCCTGCTCCTTGGGAGCCTGCTTCTCCCTCTGCCTCTCTCTCTCTCTCTCTGTCTCTCATGAATAAATAAAGAAAAAATCTTTAAAAAAAAAAAAAAAGAAAATGCATTTAAATAAAATTTGACTTAACCAAGTCTTACATTTGAAAATATGTTTCTTCTACTGTGATGCAGAAGGTAGGATGACCAGTTATGGTAGATAGAATTAAGGCCATATACTATTTCTATTCTAGAAGATCTATTTGGTACTCAGAATAGAATCTTCTAAAAAATTATTAGTCTCACGTTAAAGTGGGACACTATTCTCTTTCGTTAGCGTTTCTTTACCAATCAATTCTTTAGCTTCTAATAACGTGCCACATAATGTGCCAGGTACCCACCAAGATGTGTAAGTCATGGGCCCTGCCTTCCAGGAACATCTCACAGATGGCGGAAGACATGCAAATAATACACAGATGTGTACAAAAAATAATAGCACGGTGAATGCTGCTGCACAGATGTGAGCAGTGCACACTGAGGGTGGAACACAGGAGTCTAGGGCGCCCGGGTGGCTCAGTTGGTTAAGCGACTGCCTTCGGCTCAGGTCATGATCCTGGAGTCCCTGGATCGAGTCCCGCATCAGGCTCCCTGCTCGGCAGGAAACCTGCTTCTCCCTCTCCCACCCCCCCCCCTTGTGTTCCTGCTCTCGCTGTCTCTCTCTCTGTCAAATAAATAAATAAAATCTTAAAAAAAAAAAAAAGGAGCACAGGAGTCTAGGCCGAGCGGGGCAGGCTTTCCTCAGAAGTGCCATTTGAGCTGCATTTAGCTGACTGCAGGCAGAGGGAACCGCCTGTGGAGAGGATGCGGAAACATGTCCGGGCTTGGAGTATTGCTGGAATGGCGCAGAGGTCACTGGTAGAGATGTGGCCCTTGGCGGGTGGACATATTAGGCAGCGGGTATGTAGGGAGAGGTGAGAGATGGGCTCCAAATGCAAAGGCACTCATAAGCCTAACCAAGGCTTTAGATAGTATCTTGACGTAGTAGGTAGTCCAGAGAGATTTTTAAATAGAGAGTGATATGCTTAGCTTTGCACTTAGGGAACCTACTCTGGTACCAGTGACTGAAGTAGGGAAACCAGACAGTGGGGAGGCGGGCTGTTGCTGGAGGGCAGGGGAGTGGTGGGAAGGGCTTTCTCTGAGACAGTGGCAGTGAAAAGCCAGACACTGGCAGGTTTTGAGACATTTCCGAGTATTTGTTGATATATTGGCTTGAGGGGGGCTAGAGAGTGGGAACAGTGGAGGGGATGGAGGCCGCAGGGATGGAAAGTTTGAACCCATGAGGAGGTAACTGATATTGGCATTAGAGAGGACAGTTAATGCTTAGGGTACAGAAGCAAAGGAGGTAAGGAGGTATTCTGTTCTCCTAGAGGTAAGTTGAGAGGTGGAGGGAAGAGCAATTTGGGGTGTCACCACCTGACTATTATTTTTCCCATGAAGCAGGAGGTAAGATTTTTTAAAACTGAGAATGAGGGGAAGCAAGAGCAGTTTGAGGGGCTTTAAGATGTCTGGCAGAAGCTTAAAAGCTGCTTTGTGGAGGAGGAAATAGTGAAGGACACCTGAGGGTTCAGGTAAGGTGGGAAGCTGACTGCAGGCAGCGCCGTTTTTCTCCAGCAGACCCTTTGTGAGGGAATGAAGGAGGGTGTCGCAGGAGCGCAGTCTTACTGAGGGAAGTGTACGTATTTTTAACTTAAGGAAGTTCGTCAAAACCTATTGATTTTTGGGATTCACCTTCTTACAGGTAGTGTTTTTCCTGCTAATTTGGAAGAGATGTGAGGTCTACTATTTGAAATTTTTTGAGGGGAGTTAAAAATTTTGAATTTACATACAGTTAAAAATCACTTTTTTAGTATACAATTTATTGAACTTTTACACATGCATTGAATAGGGTCTTATAACCTATACAAACAGTATGTAGAACAATTTCCAATACTTCCCTTTTGCCACTGCTTTGTATACAGACTGTCCCGCAACTGCTAACTCCTGTGAACCACTGATCTGTTCTCTATACTCACACTGTTTGCCTTTTCTAGAATGTCATACAAATGGATAGCTAGAGTATGTAGCCCTTTGAAAATGGTTTCTTTCACTCCATGTAATACATTTGAAGTTTATCCATGCCCTGTGTGTCAGGAGTTCATTGCTTTCTGTTGCTGAGCACTCCTTCATTGTGTGGATACGCCATAGTTTGTTTATTCCCTAGGTGAAGGACATTTGGATTGTTTCCTGTGTTTGGTGATTACCTGAGAAAAAAGCTGCTACAAGCCTTATATTCAGGTTTTTTTGTGATTATAGACTTTGTTTCACTTGAGTAAATACCTAAGAGTGGGATTTCTGGGTCATATATGGTAAGGGTGTGTTGGACTGTGTAAGAAACTGATAAATTGTTTTCTAATGTGGCTGTGCCGTTTTGCATTCCTCCCAGCAGTTCATGAGAGTTCTTATTCTGTGTTCTCACCAGCATTTGGAGATATTGCTGACGTTTATGTATTGTATATTTGGTATTTTTTATTTTAGCTGTCCTAATAGGTATAGTGAGATCTCGTTGTGATTTTAATTTGCATTTCCCTATTGATTAATGACATTGAGCATCTTTTCATTTGTTTAGTTGTCATTTGCATATTTTCTTTGGCAAAGGACTCTTTTTTTTTTTTCTATTTATTTTTGTTGGGTTGTTTTCTTATGGTTGAGTTTTGAGAGTTCTTTATATGTTCTTCATATAAATCCTTTATGAAATACATGATTTACAAATATTTTCTCCCAGTCTGTGGCTTATCTTTTCAATCCCTTAATGGAGTCCTTTGCAGAGCAGTTTTTTATTTTGGTGAATGGTCAATATAATAGTTTTTGTTTTATGGGAAGTGCTTTTGATGTCATATCTAAGAAATCCTTGTCTAATCCAAGGTCATGAAGATTTTCTCCTATGTTTTCTTCTAAAGAGTATTATAGTCTTAAATTTTACACCTTTAGGTCTTTGATTTTTTTTTTTTTTTTAAGATTTTTTTATTTATTTGACAGAGAGAGAAAGACACCTAGAGAGGAAACGCAAGCAGGGGGAGTGGGAGAGGGAGAAGCAGGCTCCTGGCTGAGCAGGGAGCCCGATGCGGGGCTCGATTCCAGGACCCTGGGATCATGACCTGAGCCGAAGGCAAATGCTCAACGACTGAGCCACCCAGGCGCCCCATAGGTCTTTTGATTTTTTTGAGTTAATTTTTGTATACAGTGTAAGGTTTAGGTTGAGGTTTACTTATTTATTTTGCATATGGATGCCCAATTGTTACAGTGTATTTGTTGTAAAACCTGTCATTTCTCCATAAATTGCACCTTTGTCAAATACCAGCTGTCCATACTTGCATCGGTCAATTTCTGAACTCTAGTCTGCTCCATGTCTGTGTGTCTTATCCTCTCACCAATAGCACATTGTCTTGATTACTTAGTTTGATAACACATCTTAAGATCAGGTAATTGAGTTCTCCAAGTTTTTTTTTTTTTTTTTCCAGAATTGTTTTTGCTATTCTAGTTCCTTTACATTTCTATATAAATTTTAGAACCGGCTTGTGCATATCTGCAAAGAATACTGCTGGAATTTTGACTAGAATTGCAATATATCTGTAGATCAATTTGGGGATATATAACACTATTTAACACTAAGAGTTTTCCTTGACCTCTTTCATTAGAGTTGTGTAGTTCTCAGCAGACAGATCTTAATATTTTAATTTTAAATCTTTTACAGACTGAGTTATGGAAATAGGAAGTGAAGAAGAAAAATGGGAGAAGCTGGATGCAGAATTTGATCACTTTGTGGTAGATATGAAGCCCTTCGTTCTAAAATTACCCCATAGGTCAGGTAAGATTATGATTGGAAACTAGATTCTTTTTTTTTTTTTTTCATGTGGTAGTCTAAGTTTCTTTTTTTTTTTTATTCTTATGTTAATCCCCATACATTACATCATTAGTTTTAGATGAAGTGTTCCATGATTCATTGTTTGTG